ATGACCAATTTATGTGTTCACGGAATCCTTATGGAGCACCTACTGTGCTACAGGTCTCAGTGTTAGACCCCATGAAAGATACAGAAGTGAGAACTACAGGGTCCCTACCCCAGGGAATATAAAGCAGAAGACAAGAGAGAAGACATAAAAAATCATAATACAGAAGTAGAAATGGAAAATGCCACAAGAGAAGAGAGGGAGAAATCCAATGGGAAATAGGACTACACATGAAACGACTGGGAAAATTTTAAAAACAACTGGTATTCAGACCACACCCACAGATTCCATTTAATTGGTGTGGGGTGGAACCCAGGCACTGGTAATCTTTAAAGTTTCCAAGATACTTTTAATGTGTAGCCAGGATGGAGAACCTCTGCTATAAGAAGTAAGACTTAAGTCTAAAAGCAGTGGGTTTTAGTTAGGAGTATAAATCAGAATTACCTAGGGAACACTTTCAACATTCATAAGCCTATAAACCATCACTAAAGAAGCTGATACAGTATGTCTGGAGTGAGACCTGGGCTTTATATTTTGAAAAGCTCCCAGGTGATTCTCACATGTATTTTATGTTAGCAAACACCTAAAACATAGCTATGATGGATATACCAAAATAAACTCAAAATGGATTAAAGACCTAAATGTAAGACTGGATACTATAAAACTCCTAGAGGAAAACATAGGCAGAGCACTCTTTGACATAAATCACAGCAATATTTTTTTGGATCTGTCTCCAAAAGCAAAAATAAACAAATGGGACCTAATTAAACTTAAAAACTTTTGCATAGCAAAGGAAACCATCGTCAGAACAAAAAGACATCCTACTGAATGGAAGAAAACATTTGCAAATGATATGACTGATAAAGTGTTAACATCCAACACATATAAACAGCTTATACAACTCAACATCAAAAAAGCAAACGACGCAATTAAAAAAAGGGCAGAAGAACTGAATATACATTTTTCCAAAGAGGAAACACAGGTGGCCAAAAGGCACATGAAAAGATGCTCAACGTGGCTAATCATCAGAGAAATGCAAATCAAAACCACAATGAGGTATCACCTCACACGCTTGTCAGAATGGCTACCATCAAATAGAACATAGGGACTTCCCTGGTGGTCCAATGGCTAAGACTCCACGCTCCTAATGCAGGGTGCCTGGGTTCGATCCCTGGTCAGGGAACCAGATCCTACATGCCGCAACTAAGAGTTCACATGCCACAACTAAAGATCCCTTGTGCGTCAACTAAGACCCAGCACAGCCAAATAAATAAACAAATAAATATTAAAGGAAAAAAAAGAACACAAAAAAGAAATATTGGAGAAGATGTGGAGAAAATGGAACCCTCCTACACTGTTGGTGGGAATGTGAATTGGGGTAGCCACTGTGGAAAACAGTATGGAGGTACCTCAAAAAATTAAAAATAGAATTACCATATAAGCCAACAACTTCACTGCTGGGTATATAACCAAAAAAACTACAAAAACATTAATTCGAAAAGATACATGCACCTCAATGTTCATAGCAGCATTATTTACAATTCCCAAGGTATGGAAGTAACCTAAGTGCCCATCAACAGACGAATGGATAAAGAAGAAGTGATATATATATGTACACACACACACACACACACACACACAATGGAATATTATTCAACCATAAAAAAGAATGAAATTTTGCCATTTGCAGCAACATGGACAGACTTGAAAGGCTTTATGCTAAGTGTAATAAGTCAGAAAGACAAAGACAAATACAGCCTCTCTTCATCCATAAATCGGGGGAAGGAAGAATTAATCTAAATGACCTCTAGGCTTTGCTATTCAAAGTGGGGACCAATAACCAACAGGAACGGCATCATCCAAAAGCTTATTAGAAATGCAGAATCTCAGGCTCCGCCAGAAAAATCAGATTTGTATTGAACAAGATACTCAGGTGATCTGTAAGCACATTAAAGTTTGGGTCACTTCTCTAAAGTGTCTGCCACTTCTACAATGCAATGGTTTCAGACTCACCTCAACTCTGTCACTTAGCAGGGGAAAAAAAAAAAATTTACCTCATCACTTCACTTGCGCCCTTTTCCTGATCCTAACCAGAGCTCTCAGGCTTGCCCATATCCCTGTAGGGTTTTCAGAAACACGGATGGGGCAGCGCTGCCGCCTTGTGGTCATGATCAGTAAATGCACGTGATCTTACCGTTCTCACCTGGAAAGGAGGCGGGAGGGTTGGCAGAGGGGGGTGACGTCTAAGTCACAGATGAGATAAGAGAATCACAACCACCCACAATGACTGGAAGTAACTGTCAGACAGACCTGGGCCTACATCATAGAGTAATGTCACATTTCAAAGGGCAGATTTTATAATACCTAATAAAATGTGGTATTAGTGGGAATCCTGGGTCCCAGACCAAGCTCTACCCTTGGAAACTTCAAGAAAAAAAAAATCACTGTGACAGTTATTTTCAGACATCCAGCCCCCACCTGAACTCCATCAGTAAACTTGTAATATTCCAAGGAAACTTACTTTGCTCTGACAGTTGTCTCTCACCCTGAGCCAAAGTGTGTCTGATGCAGACTCACCAAGCCTGCGGCCACTCTGTGTAGGCACAGAAATAAGCCTCATACCTTTCACACAACAGACCTTCATATTCTTGTGAACAACCACCATACGCCCTTCCATCTCCCCTCAGCCATTTCCAAAAGGACATATTCGGAAGTTCCCTGTACTCTCCTGTCACCTTCTGAAGGGCAAGTGAAGTGTGTCAACCAGAGCAGAAACTCTGAGTCCTGGGAGTGTCCCAAGCACAGCAGCAGAGGAACAGGACGACCCACATCCCCATTCTGAGCACTTCACCTGTATTTAGAAAGCCAAATCCCACGTCAGCTCATGTGAGGAGATGGGTTCTCGACTTGTGCTGCTACCCAGTCATCCCATAGCTGTGTAGGTGTATACTTTTTGTTGTTTTATTTTATTTTTTTTTTTTGCGGTACGCGGGCCTCTCACCGTTGTGGCGTCTCCCGTTGCGGAGCACAGGCTCCGGACGCGCAGCCTCAGCGGCCATGGCTCACGGGCCCAGCCGCTCCGCGGCATGTGGGATCTTCCCGGACCGGGGCACGAACCCGTGTCCCCTGCATCGGCAGGCGGACTCTCAACCACTGCGCCACCAGGGAAGCCCCTGTTGTTTTATTTTTAAGAAATATCTATTAGAGCCTGCGATGCACTATGCGCTGGAGACACAAGGATGAATCAGACCTGGTCCCTGCCCTCACTGAGGGCCAGGTACGGAGGGAAACCAGTCCAAAGCCAGAGCATTGCGGTTACATGAGAAACACTTTGACAGAGGTGAACACAGACGTGGGGGCCCATCTCGTCAACCCCCTGTGAAGACTGTCCACTCTGGGTTTTCTGGGCTCCCGTTTTCCTCATTTCAAGCTCAAAGTGAAAAAGAAAGAGAACGCAAGTGTCCCCGATTTTTGCAGTCAAGGTTCAACCAGACATTTCTCTCTGGATAATCCAAGATGTTGGTGGGCTCCCACTTTATTCTGATGTCCTCTCTCTCCTATCAGAGCTCACCACACCGGCACATGCAGCAGCCCGGCAGCCGCATACTAGCAGACATTCCAGCAAGTCAGGAAACTTGAGTTTTTCTTCCCTGGCTTTGAGGATAACTGACTGTGATCTTGAACAAGTCACATAATTTCCCTGAGCTTTCATTCCCGCTTCCATAAAGTGGAGCAGCTGGACTAACTCTCCACGGGTCTATGTGTGTAGTGGGAGCTCCTTAGAGATAGCGTCACACCTTCTTCTTCGCGGGAGTCACCACCTGCAAATACCGGGCATACATTATGGACTCAAATGCTCACTGAATGTGTGTATGAATAAATGACTCTTCTTAGAGCAACAGGAAGCATGGAGTCAATCAACAAGCATTTGTGAATGTCTACTACATATACTGTAGAGTGGGGAAACCAAATAACAGTGGGAAAATGGTTATTTCTCCCACTTTCCCCTTACCTCCTTCCTGGAGGGGGAACTTTGTAAGTCACAAAGACTGTGCTTACACAACTAAAGTTCTCAATACGAGCTCTAATTAGTTGTCAATATTAACAAGAGAAGAGTCTGACTCTTTTCCAGGGAGAAGCCACATCGGTGGTTTACATCAGACCAAGCGCAGACCGAGCCTCCAACTCGAGGACAATCTCCACTGCCTAGCACAGTGCCTGCCGCCTGCAGATGCTTTATAAACTTTGTAGTAGCAAAGTCTACAATCAACCCTCCAACATGTCCATAGGCAGAAATAATCTGAAATTGAGAGGGTAAGAATGAGCAAACAAAAACCATGCCTGGCCTCTTCCCTCCTCTTGGCTGGAACAAAAGTCACACCACCTTTACTCACTCCTGCCTGGAGGAGCCAGGGAGGACTTCCTGTTAACCTTCCCCTCAGCCCCATAAATATCACCCAGCACTTAAGCCCAGCCTCCCCCCATCTTTGAACCCATTTCCTGAAGCCTCTGGAATGAGTCACACTCAGTAAGTGCTGGTATTGTGTACCCTCGATGTTTGCTCCAAGTAGTATCACCTCCTTGCGCTTTGGACTGTTTCCAGACAAGGTCTGAAACAAGAGCCCCAGCAGCCTGGGCAAACACCTTCCCCGCTGTGGTTCCTGTTCCTCAAACCCTCTTGGACATGAAGCCTTGAGGGTCTTCCACCAACCCAGTTCCCTCTCCTTTAGGCGGGAGCCACGAGCCCACAGCCACCTGCCTGACCAACAAGGAGGCCTGCTTTGACCCGGTGCTCCAGGCCAGGGTTCGGGGCAAGAGAGAAGAGCCTCTCCTCCTTGATCCTCTCTGCTTCCCTCCTTACATGGCCACGGAATTGGAGGAAATTGTAAACAGTGGGGACACAGCAACTTCCCAAACAACACTGCTATTGCTGATCCAAGGACGGGAGTGGGGAGGACAGAGGGGAAACACGCCGTGTGAGTCTCTCTTTGCCAGCCCTTAGCACTCTATTTCCTGCCAGATACTAAGCTAGAAAATGTCACTCACATGTATTAGGAAATTCAAACAAGGAAAAAGACTTGGGGAAGAAATCATAGCACACTGGCGGGTAGGGAGGCGGGAGGGAGGACGGGAGGGGCTGAGAACTGCTGCCAAGTTATCAGTCGCCCTCCCTTGTTCCTAAGAATATGCTTCACTCCTTCTCTTTGGCCACCTTTACCTTCCAGATTCCCATAAATCACATGGTCCAGTTACCTAATGAGACCAGCGTCACTTGGCCGTTCTCACCCTCTAGTGGGAACACTGGCCTGGGAGTAAGGCTCAGACCCCCAAGCCACGTACCACGCACAGCCTGAGCCACTCCAAGAACTCAGGACCCTCTCACTGGGAACCTTCCACACACTCTTCAAGCAACGCACAGCAGCACCAACAGTTGAAATGAAAGTTCTAATCTCTTCCCTCCTTCTGTTGCTGCCACTAATGCTGGTGTCCACGGTCCGCAGCAGCTCAAATACAGGTAAAAAAAATTTTCTTTTTTTCTATGAAAGATAAAGAGGGGGGAGAAACATGGCAAAACAGAAAAGAACGTGACCACACATGCAGTAAAATGTAGCCCCTTTAGGTTACAGGGATTAGGGGCAAGTTAGCCTGTCTCAGTGCCTGTTTCTTCACTTACAAAAAGGAAAGAACTGTACATAAATCCAAAGAGTGTTGTGAGAGTTAAAGAAGCCCGTGTGTATGGAAGTGTCTGCAACTGTAGCTGGCGGGGGAGAAAAAAATAATGGCCCAACAAAGATTTGCTGCCTCACCTGCCCCCCAGTCCCTGCTCTAGAGGTAATGAATGTCCCCAGGGCCAGGCTTGGAGGCAGTGGTGGGAGGGTGTTGAAGGCAACTGTACAACCACAGACAGTAAGTCATCCTCGACTGTATTCGTTACAGTGCACCAGATGTGCCCCAACAATTTTTAATGCTGTTTCACAGTATGGTGATAAACTAGAAAAATCACACCACCAGGTAGTACCCGTGATTGAAACTGTAGGCACACCAAGCCCTGTTTGAACAGCTCACCTTTGGGAAGCAGACCCTGGGTTAGGGGCTCCGAATCGGCTCCACTTTTCACTACAGCTGAAGTGGCCTAGCCCTTAGCAGAACAGCTGTGCAGAAGAGACCTCATCCCGACCTATGTCTGCACTCGAGGGGAACATCTCCCCAAGGGCTACTTTGAGGTGAAATAGCTTTGTTATATACTGAGCATCAACTCTGTCCTAAAATCAGGAGTTCTCCCTACTCCACCCCAATTTCCAACGTTCCCTCCCTTACAGAGAGAGCTCTCTGGAAGCTGCTGGGCCCCCCAGCCCTGGGGCCTAGACCACCATTCTGGAAGCGAAGGCTTTTCCACCACTAGGACAGACACCAAGGCTAGAGTCCTCAGCCTGGATTCCAAGCTGCAGCCACAGCTGCCTTTCCAGTCCAGCCCTCCTCGCACTAAGTGCTCTGTGCTCCACTCAGCTAGGCCTCGGGCTGCTCCCGAGCTGCTCCTGTGCTTTCCCACCAGCTCAGCTTCGCTCACAAAACCCACCCCAAGCCCCCTCCTCCCACAGCCTCCCTTGATTCGTCCCAGGACCACATGTGAGCCCTCCCGCCTGTGAACAAGCTTAACCCTAACTCGACTCTCTGCCCTTTTCATGTTCTACCTTAAGTTAAGGTGTTGGTGTGCCTCTCCCACCTCCACCCCTGCCCTTCTACACTGTAACCTCCCCTCTGGCACAATCTGGTGTATTGTTTCCACATCCCTCACACTATCCCGCACGGTGCTCAGTAAATATTCGCAAAGTGAAAGAATAAATCCTCAGGTTTCTGAGCTCAAAATGTTGCCCTTAGGAGACTCGACACCCGCATTTCATAGCAGGCCCACTGACATTAGGGCTGGATAATTCCTTGTTGTGAGGGTGGGGGGGCTGTTCTGTGCTTTGTAACCTGTTTAACAACATCCACGTGGCCTCCACCTGCTAGAAGCCAAGAGCAGCCTCTCCCCTACCACCCTGCCCCGCCCAGTTAGTACAGCCAAAAATAGCTCCAGATATTGCCAAATGTCCCCTGGAGGGGGAACCACTGCCCAGTGGGGTCACTGCTCTCTACCAATAATTCTCAAACATGGCGACACGTTTAGACTCACCTGGACCTTGAGACTCAGACTTGCATTGAGGGGAACCGCGATCCAAATCCTGGCTCCATCACTTACTTTGAAACCCTGGACAAGATGCTTAACATTTTTCAGCCTCAGTTTTATCTTCTTAAAATGAATAAAATACCACTTAGCGTGTGCAACTGTTGTGAAGAGTAAACTATGGATAATGTGAACCTAATAAGGGTTCAGTAAATGGACTGAGTAAAATTTCTAAAGTACCTACTAAGGCACAGGAACAACGAACTAGGGAAAGCTCACTGAGCTGCCAGGTGGCGCGATTACAAACCAGAGGGGACCGGTGGTGGCTAGGCTCAATTTTTGTTTCCCAGGCAAGGGGAGTTTGCAATGATGGACCAAGTCTGGCAAGAAGAAATAAAACACTACACAACCCTCCCGCCCAAAAATTCTCCAAATAAAATCTGATCTTGCTTTATCTCTTCAAATAACCACATACATGTTTAATATGCTTTTCACAGGGAAGAGGAAAAAAGAAGAGAACCGATGACAATGTTAAGAAATAAATTACTTACAATAATAGAATACTCATTCCTTGTAAGATTACTTATTAATTATAAAATTATTTATAATAAATAGCTCCCATGTGTTAAACAATCCTATGTGGCAGGCTTCTCCTAAACACTTTATACATACTACTTCATTGTGTCCTCACAGAAATGTAGTGTACTTTTTTATTTTTAACTTTTCATTTTTCAGACTTAAAAATGTTGTGAAAAGAATCAGAGTTCCAATAGATCCAAAAACCCACACACAGTTTTTTTCATAGCCATAATATGATTATCAAAACCAGAAAATTAGCAATGATACAATACTATGAACTAATGTACGAATTTTCAGAATTTGCTAATCATCCATTGATGTCCTTTTCCTGGTCAGAATCCAATCCAGGATCCTACACTGAAGAAAGGCATCATCTCTCCTGGTCTCCTCCGATCTAGGCACTTTCTCAGCTTTCCTCGTCTTTCAGGACCCTGACATTTTTAAGAGTACTGTCATTTATTTTGTAGAATGTGCCTCAATTTGGGCTTATCTGATGTTTCCTCATGACTAAATTCAGATTATGCATTTCTGGCACTAATACCACAGAAGCGATACTTGCCTTCTCAGTGCAGCACATCAGAAGGCCCACGATAACAGTATCTCTCATGATGGGTGATGTTACGTTTGAACACTGCTTAAGGTGGTGTCCATAAAGGTACTATTTTCTCATTGTAGTTAATAAGTATCCTGTGGATAGATACTTTGAGACTATGCAAATAGCCTGTTTCTTCTCATCATATTTTTGCCCGTTAATTTTTAAAATCCATTGATGATTCTTGCCTACAACAGGTATTATAGAGTCTTAGCAAAGCAGTGATTTTCTATTTCCATCATTCCTTCTACATTTATTAATTAAGATTCTACTATAAGAAAGAGCTGTTCCTTCTTTCCCATTTATTTAGGTATTCCATTATTTATTTTTATAAGTAAAGACTTGGGGATATTTGTGGATTATAATCTATTACTATCCTTATTCACCACGTCGCTCATATTGTCCCAAAGCTGGCCACTGAGCTCCAGGTGGCTTTGGTGTCTTTTTTTTTTTTTTTTTTGCGGTACGCGGGCCTCTCTCCGCTGAGGCCTCTCCCGTTGCGGAGCACAGGCTCCGGACGCGCAGGCCCAGTGGCCATGGCTCACGGGCCCAGCCGCTCCGCGGCATGTGGGATCTTCCCGGACCGGGTCACGAACCCGCGTCCCCTGCATCGGCAGGCGGACTCCCAACCACTGCGCCACCAGGGAAGCCCTTTGGTGTCTTTTTGACGTGTCATTTCTTTAGCAGTTCCTGACTTTCTCACACCACGAGATGTTCCAGCCTCATCTTGTACTTCCCTTCTGCAGCCCTGGCGTCATCCATTTGTCCACGGAGCCCTGGTTCCTTTCATGAGGGAATGATATTCACAAACCTTGGGCACTAGGTATTGCCCATGGCTACTAGGGCTAGTGCGTCTAGGCCCTCTGGTGGACAGATGTGTGCATACACACACCAATGTACTTTTTTTAGCCCCGTTTTATTGGATTGGGCAAAAAGTTCATGCGGGTAAGATGTTACCAAAAACCCGAACAAACATTTTGGCCAATCCAATACAAATTATGTAAATGAGGCACAGAAAAGGTAAGCAGCTTGTCCAAAATCACAATGCTAGTAAGTAGCGGAAATGAGAAGTCAAAATAATAATAGAGCTACTGCAAAACCTAACAAGTGGAAGTAACTTCTTTACACATACAAGTCAGCAAAAAGCAGTAAGCCTAATACTCCAGCATAGACATTCCCTTTGGGAGATAACTAGAAGTCTGCAATAATAACCACAATAACACCCATCGTGTACTGAGCACCTACTTGGGCCCCAGGCCTCAGTAGCTCCTTTATTCCTAACAACACTGCAAGGTGGATACTAATATCCACTCTTTACAAACCAGAGAACCAAAGATCATAGAAGCTAAGTGACTTCTCTAAGACTACATAATTAACTGACAGAGCAAGCAGTTGACCCCAGGTCTGTCAGGATATAAAGTCCATGCTACTCTACTGTATTAATACTATCCAAAGCTGATTTTACGTAGAACAGAAATAAGCTTTTACCTTAATAGTTATATGTTTATTTTAATGCATGTTAGGAGAACAATCTAAGCATGTATCAAACCCATAATCTCACAGATAACATTGCATAGGATGAAGCTCTTATGTAAATTAAATTTATTTAGACAAAAGTATCAAGTAAATAGTAGAAAAGGTGGTATAAGTTATAGCAAAAATCATTAAGGTGGTCCAAAAATGTCTGACTGACACTTGGAGGACATAATATTATAGTAACACCTTCGTTTTCAGTTACATCATGAAGTTAGGGTCATGTAGGGCTGCAGAAAGAACAGCAGACTACGAGCTTTGGACCAAGGTTTTAGCTCCAGGTGTGTCACCATTACCTTTGTGAACTTGGGCATTTCATTTGCTCTCTCTAGGCCTCAGTTTTCTCACCTGAAAATAAGAGATGGTGATTTAGTTAATTAGTACAATGCTTTAAAAACAACTTGGTAATGATATCAAGAAACATAAAACTGTTCATAACTTTTGACCCAGTAATTCCATTTTGGGAAATCTTGCCCAAGGCAGCAATCCAACATTTGGAAAACGGTTACAAGCACAAAGAAATTTATCAATCTCCAAAAATAAAACAATCTAAATATTCAGCAATGAGAGAAGAGTTAAATAATCGGAAACACATATACTTGAGAGTGTTAGTCATTCAAAATGTCTGTTATAAATGTTATAGGAATGTTGTTATATATATATAATATATAACATATATATATTATATATATATATATATATAATGCTGTTATAAATGTTGTAGGAAAACAAAGGAACAAGCTTATAAAGTGAACAAAAAGAAATTGGCTCACATACTATGGTTATCACCTCATTTAAAAATTATATGCAGGGACTTCCCTGGTGGCGCAGTGGTTATGAATCCACCTGCCGGTGCAGGGGACACAGGTTCAAGACCTAGTCCAGGAAGATCCCACATGCCGCGGAGCAACTAAGCCCATGTGCCACAACTACTGAGCTTGCGTGCCACAACTACTGAAGCCTGCACACCTAGAGCCCGTGATCCACAACAAGAGAAGCCACTGCAATGAGAAGCCCACACACCACGACGAAGAGTAGCCCCCGCTTGCCGCAACTAGAGAAAGCCTGCGGGCAGCAACAAAGACCCAACGCAGCCAAAAATAAATAAATTAAATTAATTAATTTAAAAAAATTATATGCAGTAAACACACCAAAATTCCAACAGCTGATAAGGGTAAAGATTTCTTCATTTTTACTTTACAAATTTTCTCTAATATAGTTATATTGCATTAAAAACGAAAAAGAAAAACTTCTCAGTGAAGGGGTTCCACTAATGATCTCCAAGTTTCCTTCTGGCTCTAATATTCTGTGGTTTTTCTCTGGAACCAGAAGTAGAGATCAGGTGACAGTGATATAGTAGAAAAGTTTAGACAGTTGGGGTTATGCCCGTTGAAATTACTTTAACGCCACTCCAAATAGCACACGAAAACACTTGGAAACCAGCACTTGGAGAAATGATGCAACACCCTTCATCTGTGTGGCAGGAAGGGCAGAAAGAGTTTGGGAAATAGGAGAGCGGGATTGAACCGGATGCTGCTCTAAGGGCCCTCTCTGGACAACTTGTTCATCCGCTTATCAAACAAACATTTACCACGTGTCTACCATGTGTCAGGAGCCATGTAGCTGAATGACCACTGAGCCATTGGTTCAGAGTCTAGTGAGGAAGAAAAATTTTTAGTTTGCTAGGACCACCATAACAAAATACCACAGACTGGGAGGCTTAAACAACAGCAACTTATTTTCTCACAATTCTGGTGGCTGGAAGTCAAAGATCAATGTGTCAGCAACTTTGGTTTCTTCTGAGGGCTCTCTCCTCGCCTTACAGATGGCCGTCTCCTTGCTATTTCCTCACCTGGTCATTCCTCTGTGCATGTACATGCCTGGTGTCTGTTTGTGTGCCCAAATCTCTTCTCCTTATAAGGACTCCAGTCAGATTGGATTAGAGCCCAACCAACAGGGCCTCATTTTAACTTAATCATCTCTACAAAGGCCCTATCCTCAAATACAGTCATTCTGAGTTATTAAGGGTTAGGACTTCAATGAATTTTAGGGGGACACAATTCAGTCCACAACACATTTCAAACAACAAACTATAACTGTGCAAGGATAGAGCTGTACTGAAATGTGACGGGGAACCATGGGAAACCGTAATTAATTCTGGCAGGAGATATGAGCAACTCCTGTACAGAGGAAGCATCATCTGGACCCAGTTCTAGTCCCAGAATCTCTATAAAACATCATACTTGATTGTCATAAAAATATTTTAGGTATCACAAAATGGGAATAAGATAGCATCAGGTGGTAAGACCGACTTGAATAGAGGCCAAAAGAGGAATGGATTTGTTGCAGAGGAACAAAGGTAAATACCATCCTCTTATAGTTGAACTGGGATTATGGATTCAAATACAACCGAACGTGGAGGTCTGGTGAAGCTCCTGACTGGTCTATGGAATAATCTACTCCTTGCTCTCATTCCTTAGGTCATGAGGATTTTAATATGTGTAGGGAGGGATCTTAATGGGGGGAGGTTGTAAGGTGTTGATTAACCCCTACCTATTGTCCTCTCTTCCATCCAGAAGCCATTCTTTCTCCATCTACCTCCGGCTAAGCTTTTCTCTAGGCCAGATTTTAAACCTCGATTCCTTATCCATTTAAAATGCTCCTCTCTTGAAGCACCCTAGATCCCTGAGTAAAAAGGAAGAGCAATGGAGCTACGCTGACCTCGGTAGCACGATGATGCGGGACCAATTCTCTTGGTCCCTTCCCTTTCCAGTGACTGGAAGTGACCAGTTTTCTTCCTACAGGGATTGCCAGAGGCCATAGGGACCAACGCCAGGCTTCTGGGAGGTGGCTCCAGGACGGAGGCCAAGAATGTGAGTGCAAAGGTCAGTAATCCAGTATTGACAACAGCGATACGCCATCAGATCCCAGCTTGTTCCCCTGAATCCCTCTGGGACCGGAGCAGATGTTATCTGAGCTGACCTCACCCTCTCCCCTCTCCACAAGACCACCACATGCAGCACCAACACTTATTTTCTTCCTGAGTTTCATGTAAGAACCAGACTCCTCCAAGGTCCAGCGGGGAGCTGGCTGAATCTCTGGCTGCCCCCTCTCCCTTACCCTCTTTTCCCCAACAACCCAGGGCTGCCTTCCAAGTCTTTCCTGGACCCCATTCTCAACCTTATTTTACTCACAGGTAAGACTGAAATCAGAGAGGCAAGCTTGCTTGAGGTAAAGCAGCCACTAAAAAGCAGACACCTAGGTCTTATTCCTCATTTTTCAGTCTCCCTAATGATACCCTGATGCCTCCTCCAAACCTGCCACCAAATCCTTGCCCATACAGGTCAGGCAAACAACTTAGAGACCCTGGTGCTCATGTAACTGGATACCTTCACTGTGCTGGGTTGACCCTTTCCCACACCCACTGCAGTATGAAAACGAATCGAGAGGCAAGGAAGATGGCAAGTAAAGCCCTAGCCCTCAAACTTATTAACCCTTCTAAGCAGCAACTCCCTTATTTCAGATTGGTTCCTGAGAGCCCCTAAAAGAAAACTCATGGCAGTGCCCAGGCTGCCAAAGAAGCCGTGTCCCTGTGATCATTTCAAGGGCAGAGTGAAGAAAACCAGTAAGTTGCAAAAGAATGACCTTCCTTAAACCAAAGTCACTCTGTGGAATCAACTAGGGCTGAAGCAGGGGTTGTGAAGAGACAAGAGAAATGAAATGAAGACCAGGATAAGCACACTTCTCAGCCCTTTCTACTCAGTGTCATCTTGTGGGGAAATAGGAAGAGAAAGAAAAGCAAAATGCAATTCTCCTAATACTAGAGAGCCTTAACCAAATTCCTTAATGATAGAATGCCATTGCTTATCAAAGTGGAGGCAGATGGGGCTGTTGGGGACCGGTCATTGATCTCTGACAATGACACCGGTGTTGGTGTCAAACAAAATGTGATTCCTCCCTAGTCTAGGTATAAATAAATGTCATATAAAAAGAATATTGGCAAGAGGTAAACTGATTGATGTTATGATATTATCAAGAATGGGATGAATCTAGATCCTTATCACTGTTGACGGAGGTAAAATAATATTTGGTAGTACCTATCAAAAACTTAAATGTGTGGGGCTTCCCTGGTGGCGCAGTGGTTGAGAGTCCGCCTGCCGATGCAGGGGATACGGGTTCGTGCCCCGGTCCGGGAGGATCCCCCATGCCGCGGAGCGGCTGGGCCCGTGAGCCATGGCCGCTGGGCCTGCGCGTCCAGAGCCTGTGCTCCGCAATGGGAGAGGCCGCAACAGTGAGAGGCAAACTTAAATGTGTGTACCTTTTAACCAGTAATCTCACTTCAAGAAATCTCTAGTATAGAATATTAGCACGAATATTCAGAAATATGTACAAGAATATTAATTATAGCAGTATTGTAGTGACAAATGAACATATTAAATGCTCATTATTAACAGACTTGTAGTTTGTTCATTTTACAATGTACACAAATATCAAATTATGGTGTTGTACCCCTGAAACTAATATAATGTTAGATGTCAGTTATACCTCAATAAAAAATTCATCAAGAGCAAATTGGGCAGTTCTGCACTTGTCAGGTCATGTTGATTGGAAAGATGTCCACAATATATTAAGTGAATAAAAGGTGCAGAGACCCCCTAGTTCAAGCCCATCACAAAAATAAATTTCAGTGAATTAAAGGTCTAAATTTGAAAGACAAACTTACAAGGGAATATTGGAGGCAATATTCATGACCTTGGGGTAGGAAAGGATTTCTTAAACAAGTAACAAAAATTATAAGTCATAAAGGAAAAGATTAATAAATTTGACTTTATTGAAATTAAGAAATTTTGGTCATCAAAAGAAAATGACAAGAAGAAGAAGAGTAGGGGTATGTCTGCAAATATTAATATCGATAAAGGATTAATATTCAGACTGATAAGTAATTCCTATAGAGCCATGAGAGGAAGGCAGGAAACACAACAAATAGGCAAAAGAGTTGAGTACACACTTCAGAGACAAGAAATCCAAATAGCTAATAAACATGTGAAATGGCACTCAACCTTACTAGTAACTGAGAAAATATGAGTTAAAACCGAACAGAGGGACTTCCCTGGTGGCGCAGTGATTAAGAATCTGCCTGCCAACACAGGGGACATGGGTTCGAGCCCTGGTCCGGGAAGATCCCACATGCCGCAAAGCAACTAAGCCCGTGCACTACAACTACTGAGCCTGCGCTCTAGAGCGCGTGCTCTACGACAAGAGAAGCCACCACAATGAGAAGTCCGTGCACTGCAACGAAGACCCAATGCAGCCAAAAATAAATAAACAAATTTATTTTTAAAAAAACAGATCACTCTACATCATAAGATTGGCAACAATTTTGAATTTTTGAATTTTATTTATATTTTTATACAGCAGGTTCTTATTAGTCATCCACTTTATACATATTAGTGTATATATGTCAATCCCAAGGATTGGCAACAATTTTAATGTCTGATAATTCCATGTATTGCCAGAGAGTAGAACAGAGAAACTATCATCTCCTGCTAAAGGGAGTGTAAATTGGTAAATCACTTTGAGAAAGTGCTGGTAGTTATCTACTAAAGTTTAATTTCTGTGACCAAGCAACTCCACTCTTAGCAATTCCATACTCAAAAGGAATGTTGCTTATGTACAGTGGAAGAAATGAACAAGGATTTCATAGCAGGATTGTTTATAACTATCCCAAACTGAAAATTGGTCAGTTTATTGGTCAGTATATTTGAATATTATATATTTGAATATTATAATATTGGTCAGTATATTTGAATATTATAAAATTGGTCAGTATATTTGAATATTATATATCTGTGAGAATGAACAATAATAAAGCAACATAATGTTGAGTAGAAGAGAAAAAAATAAGCGAGAATAGTTATAGCATGATTTGATATACATAAAGTTTAAAATAAGGCAAAATTAAACTAAATTATATAGGAATGTATAAGTAGGTGGTAAAGCCATAAAGAAAAGAAAATATTTTTTTATTAATTGTTAAATTAATTTTTAATTAATTTAATTAAATTAATTAAATTTTAATTAATTTAAAATTAATTAAATTAAATTAAATTTTAAGTTAAGTTAAATTAAATTTTAATTAATTTAATTTTTAATTTAATTTTATTATTTGTTAAAAAAATAATAAAAAAAAGATTTGTTAAAGGAACATAGAAAAAACAATATGTATAGGATAAGCTCATTTTGTTTTTTAAAGTGAACTATTATGTTTATATACAAAAATATATGGAAAACTATGTAGCAAACTAGTAACAACAGTTAGCTCTACAGAATGAGGAGTAGCAGCTGAGGTTGGGGCATCCTTTAACTTTTTACTGGATATACTTTTTCATTTTAATTTTTTCCATGGGATGAGTCTTACTTTTAACATTTTAAAAGCTCTCATAAAAAATAAATTCTAAAAATGTTTTTAACAGTAGTCTCTCCCTTTTCTTTTCACCCTAGGGCACCAAAGACACCACAAGAAGCCAACCAAACCCTCCAGAGCCTGCCAGCAATTTCTCAGACGATGTCAGCTGGCAAATTTTGCTCTGCCCTTATAGGAGCTCTGAGAGCCCACCGTCCCGATAAAACATTCTGTCAACAAGGCAGTGAGCGCACCTAGAAGATGCTCTTCTCCCACCTCAAGCTCCCCATCCCTGTCCCTACTCCCTAAATCATCCCAAAAAGCATGTTCCCCAAGATTATTGCCCCCTCTAGTGGCTTCTTTTCTTGTCAGTCTTTTCCTGGGGCCTCCCCTTACCCAGGCTTAAATTTACTTACCGGGAATCTCTGGTTGCCTAGCTGGTCCCACTGGGTCTTAAATACAACCAAGCAAGTAGTAAACAAAAGTCAATAAATATATTTAAATGTAATAGGTCAAAATCATTTTCAAATGGGGTCTGGAAACTCACATTCAATCCAGACAACCCACTTTACCCTGTTCATTCCAAACTCAATCCAGATTATACACACACCTCTATCCAACACCACCTTCAATCTCACTCCAGTTTCCAACTTTTTATTCTTTTACTCATTCAACAAACCTTTCTGAGGTAAGAGCTAGGTGGGGCAAAGAAAGAAGTTAAAGTAATGAATCAGACATTGTCCTACTAAAGATAATATAGGTTTAAAAAAAAAGAAAACCTGGCACCATTTCCTAGCACATAAAATGCCTCTAGTATTTATGATTATCATCATCACCGTCATTAACGGTCATCTGACTGTAAGTTTCCAATCTACTACAGAAGACATGTGCAGAGGCATAGTTGAAGGCTAGAGAGATGGTGTGGAAGATTTCAAATGCCACTCGAAACAGCTTCAAGATGTAAAAATGAGATGTCTTTCTTATTTTTATTTTCCTTTTTTTTTTTTTTTTTTTTTTTTTTTGCGGTACGCGGGCTTCTCACCGTTGTGGCCTCTCCCGTTGCGGAGCACAGGCTCCGGACATGCAGGCTCAGCGGCCATGGCTCATGGGCCCAGCCGCTCCGTGGCATGTGGGATCTTCCTGGACTGGGGCACAAACCCATGTCCCCTGCATCGGCAGGCGGACCCCCAACCACTGCGCCACCAGGGAAGCCCCAGTCTTTCTCATTTTTAAACATGGGAGTAAAATGATCAAAACGATAATAGAAGGAAATTAAAGTGGAAACCATTTGTATGAATGAATAAAGAGGAAACAATTACAACAGGGTAGCTCCTGCTTCCCTCTCTGACCCTTTCCTCAAACATCAGAAGGAGAGAACAGAAAAGGAACACTCCTCCAGAATCTGGCTTCTGTCATCCAGATGAAACAGAGGACTAAGTTGGGGTGCTGGCCTTATGAGAAGAAACATTTTAACTGAGTGGTGAGTGGGGCCTCCTCTGGTAGGAGAGTGCTGGGCTCTCAGCCTCCCGCTGCCCCCAATCCCTCCTCCCACAGCAGGAGGCACACAAGCGCTTCATTTGGCACAGGAGTGGAGAGGCAGCTGTGGTCAGCCCACGTGCCAACTGCCTTAGGAAGAGCAGGGATGCCAGGATGAAGGAGTGGAACCCAAAGGGAGGAGCCATCATGAGCAATCAGTGAGGGATCTGTGACAAAGGAGGCCTGTGAGGGCCGAGAAGGATGAAGCCTGGGAGATCAACATCTCCCTTCAGGGAAATAACAACAATGGAGCCAGGCTCTAAGTTAGTTTCTAGGCCTGACTGGGAACCTGAGCCACACCAGACACCTATCACCCAGTCAGAGTCTGGGCCAGAAAAGACACCCACAGCTCAGCCAGCATCTAAGGCTCAGCAGGGACCCGATACCCAACAGAAGCGCACTGCACAGCAAAGACCCCTTGCCCACCATGGAGCTGAATCCCAGCAGGAACCTCGAGCACAGCAAAAATCTGCTTTGCAGCAGGAATTTCTTGCCCCACAGGAGCCTGCACCACAGCAGTCACCTCCCATCCAAAGGGTGCCCTTCAGGAAACAGGAAGCTGCCTCACAGCACAGACCTGGGCTGGGAAAAGATTCTAGAACTCAACAGGAGCCGGAATTGAGAGAGGGAGCTGGAGCCCAGGTAGGACCTGGACCCCAAAATGGATCACCTGCCCAGACGGAACTGATGTCCCAAGAGAGACGGAGACAGTCAGACCCTACAGCTCAGCACGCAGCTCCAGCCCAGGGAGCCAAATCCCAAGAGGGATCTTTGGCTGAGTGGCAATTTCTGTCAAAACCAAACGAACCATCCATGCAGCAACCGGCCTCAGAACATAAGACATTTCCTGAACGGGTAGTAGATTCTGGTGCAGATTCGGATTTAGGGTTTACGTTAGAGACCAACTCGCCAGCCCAGAGGGGTGGAACAGTGGCCCAGGGAATGAAGCCGGTCTTCAAGGGGAAACCTGGTTATGAAGTGATGTCGGGATTTGGTGGGACGTCATTACCCAGTAAGAAAACCAGCAGCCAAAACCCCAGACACTACCGGAACCCAGGTAAGTTGAGCTTGGAGGAAGGGGGCCTCCCAGGGATGGTCATTCATTTGCTCAGGAAGAACTTAGGCCTGCCAGAATGTCAGGTGAGCTCAGGTGACCCCGCAACAGTCCTGCAGACACAGATCAACAGCCCCATTTGACGGAGGAGGAAGCTGAGCCCTAGAGAAGAGAGGGATCCTGCAGGAGGCTGGGCAGTTAGGGGCTGGCCAAGCCAGGACCCCCAGCGAGCCTCTGACTCCTTCCCCTGCTCCAGGCTGCCTCCCCGCGGGGATCTGGGGGAAATCAAACAGAAACTAAAGAAGGCCCTGGGCGAGGGGCCCGTACTCATCCCTTGGGTCCCCAACCCTGAGCACCACTCTGGGGCGGGCACCAAGTGGGCCACCGCGGCACCCTGCTGAACGTGGACCCTTACCTTCGGCGAGTGTCCACGCAGGCCAGGCCGAAAACCGGGCAGGAGCGACCCTTGAGCTCTCTGGGCTGTCCAGTGGGCAGGAGGACACTTGTCCCCAGGGAGTCCCAGTCCCGCCGGGCCCATGGCCTCGTGGGTTGTGATCTCAGGAAGGGGGCGCCTGGGAGGGGCGCTGGGGCTCCGCCCAAGTCCCAGGCAAGGTCGGCGCTGACGGGAGGGAGAGCTGGGGGAGCGGTGTGGGCGGGTCGTGGGCACAAGACTCCACTGGCGGCAGCATCCCTGCGCCTCCTCCAAAGCCGGCCATGGTGCCCCCGGGGAGCAGGCTCGGGCCCTGAGCTCCTTCTCTGCGCTCAGAAGCCCTGCCCTGCACAAGGTGGGGCGCAAGTTCTCTCTGGGGAACGTGGGGAGACTCGGTGAGATAGCCAGAGGGGGGGAAACAAGGCGGCCGCACTCCGGAAGCTGAGGGCGCTGTGAGGACGGTTAGTCCGAAGGCTGGTAATGGGGGTCTCAGCCCAGAGGCCTGTGTCCCCCGGAAGGGCTGGGCCGCCTCTCTCAGGACTGAGGAGAAGAGGGTCATCCGGGTCTCTCAGTGCCACGGCTGCTCGTGTGCTTTGGGAGGGCGGGGAGGAGGGGAGCGATGGTGCTTCTGGTGCTAAAGATAAACAGCGGTTTCCCTGGGCCTCCCGAACCCAGTCTCAAGGGACACCTTCACCACAGCGCCGCCACAGCCAAAGCCGCCTCTCTGGGACCGTCGGAAAGAGTTGATTTGTGCGCATGCGCGAGCCTCGAGCCTCCTCCGTTTCCCGCCTTTTCCGAGGCTGGCGCCACGCCCTCTCTCCCTCCAGCGAGGCGATGCGCAGCTCGGGACCAATGCGCAGTCATTGATCACTCTTAGGTCCACCATCCACTCACTTCCATTCTCGCCAGAAAGGAGAGGGCAGAGAAAAGAACCCTGAGAAAGAGAATAGGAGAACTAGAGGACAGAAGGCGGAGGAAAGGGCGGGGCTTCCCCCTCCAATGGCTCACAGACAGAGCTTTGCCTCAGGCACTGTCGCCCCGCCCGATTTCCAACTGCCTGAGGACCTGGCGGGCCCCTCGCCCCTAGAAGGAGGCTCAGCAGCAGCCTTGTCTCCTGCTCCAGCGGGTGGGCCGGATGCGTTCTAGATGATTCCTATGTGGCAAGTGCAGTGGGGAAACGACGCTGACAGCCAACACGTGAAAAGACCCAGGCTTCCCCGCTGGAGAGACCCCCGCGGGACTCCCCACTAGTTTGGCCAGAAAGACGCTTTTGCCGCCTCCAGGGCTGCATTTGTTGTTGGTCCGTGGTCTGTTCGATGCGCGTAAGGGGGCGGGGCCAGGCCTCAGTCCTTAGCCATGGGGGGCGGGGCCCCGCAATGGAGTGAAGCCCGGATTGCTCTTGGGGCGCGACCCAGAGAGGAGCAAGTCCGGGACTGGGTGGTGTTGGGGGCCCGATAGCAAGGATTGGCCCTAGGGGCCGGGACTGGCGGCTGGATTCGGCCCTGGCCTCTGGAATTAGCCCCGGGATCGGGGACCACATAGGATTGATGGAGTAAGCTAGGGGGACGGAACCGCCTTGGTCCGTGGGGCCCCGACCGCGAAAAGGGCCCAAGAGGGGTCCAAGAGCCGTAGGCGCCGACGGTGGCTAAAAGACAAAGCCAGAGGTGAGCGGGCGGGGGTGGGCAGCAGCCCTGAAGGTACTTGAGACATCCTATGGGAAACTGGGGACCGAGTGGACTGACGTCCTGCCACAGGAAGTGGGGGAGCCCGTAGACTGGCTCATTGCCGCCCTGTGGGGCGGGCGTGCGGGGATAATCCACTGAGAGAAGCGGGTGATGTGAGAGGGAAATACCACACCCAGCAGAGAGACTATCAGACATCCCAGTACCATCTTGGGAGGGGAGTCCAGAATGTGAGTGTCCCGGACCAGGATTCCTCTTCCGGCTCCGGACTCACTGTGTGACCGTGGGCAACTCCTGCCCTCGGTGTTTCTAAGGTGGGAAATGGTTCAAGCGCGATTTTCAGGTATGAGTCACCTTTTTTTTTTTGGCCACACTGGGGCATGAGGGAATCTTAGTTCCCCGACCAGGGATCGAACCTGTTCCCCCTGCAGTGGAAGCGCAGAGTCTTACCCACTGGGATGCGTTAAGAAGTCCCAAGTCTCTGACATTCTTGCGACGGTAATGAGGAAAAGGTTTAGAAGCTGTTGTCCAAAAAGGAAGTTTAGGGGTGAGTCAGGGAAAGGAAGGAGGAAGGGGTGCCCCATAGTGGGGAATGCCTGGAGGAGGGGTGCAGTACAGCTCCAAACAGCCCTGTCCCACCATCCTTCATTCAATCCGCTCATCCATTTGTTGTCAGTCCACCTGCCTCAGCCTGACTGCCCTAGGACCTAACTTCTTGACTCCTACTCCTAGGACTAAGGGGCCCTGGGTTGGCTTTGGACAGCCTAACCTTCACTTGGGAGAAGGAAGTGCTGTCACCTGGGTTCCCTAGGGGGTCACATTATTTACAGATCTCATCAGGCTGGAGAAACACTGACAGACCAACAGAGATGCTACAAGCCTCAGGAAGAGGCACACATGCAGTTCTTTCTGGATTAGGAGTATGTGTCAATCCAAGTGAGGACCTTTGGGAATTTCCTGTGCAGAAAAGAAACTGACATAGCCCCCAGGCCCAGAGACCCCCAAACTCATCATCTTCTCTGCCATAGACATCATCATTAGCCAAGGTTAGAACTGGAGTTGGCTCCAGACACACACAGGAAGGCTCAGACAGGCTCAGAGCTCAGACTGGGCCCAAGGCCATTCCCTGTCACATGGCAAGACACAGCCTCACCAACAGGACAGTGTGCCCAGAGGCAGCACACACCATGGTCAAGAACGGGCCTTGGAGGGCTTCCCTGGTGGCGCAGTGGTTGAGAGTCCGCCTGCCGATGCAGGGGACACGGGTTCGTGCCCCTGTCCGGGAAGATCCCACATGCCGCGGAGCGGCTGGGCCCACGAGCCATGGCCGCTGAACCTGCGCGTCCGGAGCCTGTGCTCTGCAACGGGAGAGGCCACAACAGTGAGAGGCCCGCATACCACAAAAAAAAAAAAAAAAGTTGAACTCATAGAAACAGAGATTCAAAAAATGGTTGCCAGGGGCTACGGTTGGGGGAAAATAGGGAAAAGTTGGTAAAAGAGTACAAACTTTCAGTTATAAGATGAATAGGGTCTGAGGATCTAATGTATAACATGTTGACTATAGTTGATAATACTGTATTATATAACTGCAATTTGCTAAGAGAATAGAACTTGTGTTCTCATCAGAAGAAAGAAAAGGGTACGTATGTGAGGTGACGAATGTGTTAGCTAACTCAGTGGTAGGAATCCTTTTACGATGTATACATATATCACATCATCATGCTGTACACTTTAACTATATTGCAATTTTGTCAATTATACCTCAGTAAAGCTGGAAAAAAAGTGGCCTTGCAACCTTGAGTCTGGCTGGCTCAGAACATGTCTCACTCACGTACCACATGCCCTTTGTATCCACGTCCATTTTCATTTAATAAATTTTTTGCACCAAAAGCAAAACACAACAAACAAAAAAACCCTAGCCAGATACTACCACAGTATCTGACTCATACCAATGAGCCACGCTTCTAATTCATAAGGCCTTCATTTTATTTTTTTTAATGGAAACAAGTCTTCATTAAGTAACTTTTAATATCAGAAAAATAAAACTCTCATAATTCTCTTTACAGCAAATATATCAGTGTCAGTGCTCTGGCCATCTTAAGTTAAAGGTGCTTTATCATAAAATATATGGTTTTAAACTTCACTCAAATTGAATTTATAATCCCTATGACTTCCCTACAAGGCCTTCATGTTAAAGGGGAGGAAATGGAAGCCCAAAAAGGGAGAAGGTTTGGCCAGGATCTCCAAGTCAATGGCTGAACCCAGGCTAGAACTCACGTCCTCAGGAGGCGGCGGCGAAGGGGAGTGTTTAGGTTTCTCCTGCTTGCTGGGCATGATTCTGTCACTTTGCCAATGATCCTCCTCCCCAAGCCCCCTGCGCACTTCAGAGCGAGCACTGCCCATTACCTGCCCCTCCCCTCCGCCTCCCTGGACATGTCTGGCGCTCCTCAGACCTTTCACGCCTCCACAACCCTCATGGACCACAGGACAAGGCAGAAAGGCAACTCCGTAACTTTATTTCACTATGTGAAGGGGTAGGGGTGTTTGGTCCAGCTAGATCGTCAGTCCCTGAAGGCAAACAGAAGGCCTAAGAGGATGCCCCAAGCAGGTCTCCCACTAGAGGGCTCTGCACCAGCAAACTGGGCCTTCTCTAAGATGTTGATGGCCTCAGTCACTCTGATGCTGCCAATATGGTGAAAGTGGGATAAAATATTGGTGTTTTCACGAGCACAGCCCATGAGGAGGAAGGTGGTATTGAGATACCCTGTAAGGAAGAGAGCAAGGAGTCAGAGACACTTTCAAGACTCAAACATCCTACTCCTCCTTCCAGACACCCCTCACAAACCAGGACCCCTGCTCTCCCACCAAACACTCAGGTACCAGGCACCTTCTCCCCTCCTCCTTGGAATTATGTGCCACAACCCCCATCCCCCAGGACCCAGACACAGGACCATGGGACCTCAGTCCCACCCACCTCCGTCAGAGACGGGAAGGCAGCAGGCCTAGAGCAGGCATCTGAGAAAGAAAGTTTCTCTTCTCTCACCTGCCTGAAGTTTTAAGGTGGAACTGTAACACTCAGTAGCATTGTTGGGGCAAGCCTCGGTGGTGACAAAATTTGGGAGGCAGTCCTCGGAGTGCTCGCCCACACAGGTTGGGCAACTATGGGAAGAAGATGCTAAAGTCTTAGGAGCCTTGGCCTTGAGTTTCACAAAAGGATCCATGTTGGTGAGGTTATTGCAGAGGTATGTCCGGCAGACACGGCTATAGGAGGCAATGGACAATCCGGGCGGCGAAACGAGGTAGGAGACTTGCGGGGGGTAAGATGAAGCTGGGCTGCAGCCTTTAAAACCCACAATTCCCCTTCTGGTCCCTGCGGGGCAGAAGATTGGAGAGCTCTGATCAGTGTTGCTGGCCACACCCAGTTCAAGCTCCCAGCCCAGGCCCTGCTCTTCCTGCTGCCCCATCACCAACTTTGCCCCTCCCCCACTGTCCTCTCACCACTCAGATTTCCCACGTCTCATCTGCCTCTCCTCACTCTTCTCCCCACAGGAGCCCGTCTGCGCCTCTCTCCCTTGTATCCCAAACTTGTCTTCTCTTCCAGAGTCCCCCTCTCCTCCTGGGATCTGTCCACCTCCATTGTGTCCTCTTATCCAGCCCACACCACAACCAGCTGGGTCCTGCCCCTCTCCTGCCGATGTCTGGATGCTGTTCCCAAACATATAATGGGGTAGATATCTGGAACTCAAGTCCAGAGTCCCTGGGTGCTAGGAATGGAGGTGGGGTCAGAAGACCAAGCAAACAAAATGTCGCAAAGTCACCCCTGTTCACCTGTCTCGATGAACACCAGCGTCTCCTCACAGCCCTCATTCAGTTTACACACCATGCTCCTCATCAGAAGCCACTGCCAGTTATGGAGATCAACAGCTCTGAAGAGGGAAGATGTTGCTTCATAACACAAAAGAGCTCCAGCCCCTAAAGAGAGAATGTTCTTCCAGTCACCTGCCCCTCACATTGCCTTCTCAGCCCCGAACCGCCAATCAAGAGCTCAGCCTCCACAGACCCTGTCTCCCGAGGGACCCAGATATGCAGCTTTCCTTCCCCCAGTGACATGAATCCAGCCCTCCCATCCCAGCCAAGAGGGTCCCTAAGGGTCCAGCCACAAAGGACATACAAGGCAGAGTGGAAATGGCCCCTAGGAGACAGAGCAGCTGCACGGGGCTCAAATGCTGAGGTCCCATGGTCCTGTGTCTGGGTCCTGGATGCTGGGCCTCGGTCTGGAACCAATTTCAATCTAGGTCTCAAGCTCAGTTCTTGTCAGCCTCTGGGTCACTGTTTCTGGAGCAGAAAGTTGATTATCATTTTCATTAACATAGGCTCCCTGAGCCCTTCAGGGACACAGGTCTTCCCATCTCCATAGTCTCTCTTCCAACCTAACCCGAACCCACATTAGCTTCTCAAATCCTGACTCTTCACTCTCCTGCTTAGGTTCTGCCACTGGACATGGTGCTGAGCAGAGGACGCTGGCTTATTCAAAGGATCACTATCATACAGGCTATTCTCCATCCAGAGACAATGAGGTCAGAACAACAAATGTGTGTGTAGGAGTTAACCAACATATTACTAAATAACCCTTGACTCGAAAAAGAAATTAAAAAGTATTTAGAACTGAATAATAGCAAACATACTACATGTCACACACACACACGTGCATGTAAAATCTGATGAAAACTGAATAAGGCCTGTAAGTTAGTTAAGAGTAATATACCAATGTCAATTTCCTGCTCATATACTACAGTTATACAGAATGTCCCTATGGGGAACTGGAAGAAGGGTTTAAGGGACTCTAAAATTTTTGCAACTTCTTGTAAGCCAATAATCATTTCAACATCAAAAGTTTTTTAAAATACACATCAAAATTTGGGACTCTGATTTCTAAATCAATATTCAGAAGTAAATTTATAATTTAAATACATTTATCAGGAAACAAGAAGAATTACAAAATGTTTATGAATTAACTCAAGAAGTTATATGAGACCACAAAGCATCCCCCAAAAAGGGACAGAAATAAAGATGATGACAGAAATCAATGGAATAGAAAACAACAAAAAAGTATTACAAAAGACTAATATTCATTCTTTGACAATATTACTAAGATAATTCTCTGGCAACTCTAATCAAGAAAAAAAGATGCAAATAAAATACAGAATGAAAAATAAAAATTAACAGACATCACATGTTCTAAGAATAATAAAAGTGTCATTAACAACTCTACATTTATAAATTTGAAAACCCAGATGAAGTGGATAAGTTTCTAAAATAATATGAAGTGCCAAAATTGGCATAAGAGCGCATACAAAGTCTTAAAACGAGAATGGTCAAGGATCTCAGGCAAATTGACAAGAAAAAGAGAGCAACCCCAGCAGGGGAATGGACCAAGCATATGAAGAAGCAATCTCAAAAACAAACCAGGGGGCTTCCCTGGTGGCACAGTGGTTGAGAGTCCGCCTGCCGATGCAGGGGACACGGGTTCGTGCCCCGGTCCAGGAAGATCCCACATACCGCGGAGCGGCTAGGCCCGTGAGCCATGGCTGCTGAGCCTGTGCGTCCGGAGCCTGTGCTCCGCAACAGGAGAGGCCACAACAGTGAGAGGCCTGCGTACCGCAAAACAAAACAAAACAAACAACAACAAAAAAAAACAAAGTCTAACAAGCATATGAAGAAACACCCCAGCTCAACAATAATCAGAGAAATACAATGTATCCAAATGTGCATCTATCAGATTGGCGAGGGATCAGAAAGCTGGAAAACTATGAGCATTGGTAGGACTGTGGGGCTACAGAGACCCTTGTGCACTGCTGCTCATGGGGTAGTTGGGGCCAGGGATAGGGTCCTCTTCTGGACCCTGAGGAAGGGAGGAGTTCTGAACAGTGTCTCAGACCCAAAGCATCATTCATTGTGGGGAGGAGTCTGGCAATACTTAGTCAAATTAGGCTTACAAAGAGCCATCTCTGGTATATCCTAGGTACACATAACAGAGATTTCCACCTTCAACTACAAAGGAACACATGAGAATGTAGCATTATTATGGTGACAGTGAGCTGAAGGCAATGTGGGCGTCCCTCCCTGAGACCTAGTGAACATGCGACACGCAGGGGATGCACACCATGGAATAGCATGCAGCAGTTAGAAGCAACTGGTTAGATGTACGCATCACATGCACTGGATGGATCATAAAAACAGTGCTGATTATTTTAAATAGTAAATAATGTCATTCGCATAAATTGAAGCATCATGCACATAAAACACCGCACATCTTGCAAGAACACACACAAACTAAAAGATATGCATTAACCACCTGAAATGAGTGCCTATGCAACAGTTAGAGAATAAAAGTGGGGAACTGGGGATTACTGGAAATAACTAAAACACTGTAGGTTGTACAAAGTTGATAGACTTTGGACTCAAAGACAGACCAACGCTGGAATCTTTACCTCTCCATTGTCTAGCTGTGTAATCTTGTGCATCTTATTGAACTCATTTATAAAATATATTAGTAATATATCCCATAGAGTCATGGTTGAAAATTAATAAGATTATTAGTATAAAGTGCCAGGCAAGAGCTAAGCTCTCCAAAAATGTTGGTCCCCCTATCTCTCTCTCCACTACCTAAAGGTTTAATGTCAATTGCTTCAGCTGGCATTAAAGCATTCCACACATCCTCACCCTTCCTCCCCCAGACTGGCCCCCAACAACCTTTCCAACTTCGTCTAGTACTGCCCCCCTGCACAGCAGTCCAGCTAGAGGTCACTTCTGCCACACTTCTCTGTCCAGAATACCTGACACAGGATCCGTAATCCAGAAATCTGCGGCAAACTAAGAGGCCAAGACCAGCAGAAAAGATGGGACACAGGAAGGGGAAATGAAGGCTGACAAAGGATCAAACAAAGGAGTTGGACCAAGCAGAGAAGATGGCACACACCTGCCTGGGAACGCAAAACAACGGGACCCAGCAATCTGAGAACAAGCACGGACACAACCAGAAAAGAGTGGAATGAAATCCTCAAGGAAAAAGGGATGGAGTGGTGGTCAGAGGCGATGCTATCCCTACAAAAGAGAAACCACACAGACAAGGAGGAGCAAACTGTTGGAATGGAACCTTGCAGGGAGCAGAGAAAGCACAATCGGGAGCGGCAGAAAAATGAGGAGTGGGGCACAAGGACCGGGTTCTCAGGGGAGAGAGGAGACAATCTTAGAGGCTCAAAGAGAGAAAAGGAGACAGGGCAGAATGCATAGAGAAAAGGGGACACCACAGAGAATGGGGAGGGAAACCGTGAGATGGGTCTAGTAGAGATGCACAGAGAAGGCTACAATTAGAGAGTGGAGCACCGAGAATGGGGTGCAATCTGGGAGGAAGATGAACACAGACGGTGGAAAAGGCTAAAAAGACAGAAAAACCACAGAAGCGTCTCGGGAAGCGAAGAGGAGGATGGGAGGGGCAGGGGTCCAGGCTACGAGGGAATGAGGCACGTGGAGAAAGAGGTTCCGAAAATCAGCAGGATGAACAGGCAGAGAGAGAGAGGCTCTCAGAGACGGAAAATGTCAGAGTTAGGAAAATCAGCACCAGCGCGGACGATAAGAGACACAAGGAATGGGGCTCAGCGTGAGAAGGTGGGACCCAGGAAGGAAACAGGGATATCACAGCACAGGGAACATAAAAGGAGAAAGGTAGATCGGGAGTTGGGCAGCGGGAGAGAAGTGCGAAAGCACGGGCATGCACACAGCAAAGAGTAACCGCCCGCGCAGAGTCGAAGACAAACGCTCAAGAGGCGCCGTCCCTGCAGTGCTGGCCGGAGGGCGAGACTGCGCGTGCGCGGGAGGGCGGGCCGGGCAGCCGTTCCTGGGGGGGCAGGGCCAGCCTCGTCCTGGAAGCGTTACTCGACGCCCCATTGGCCACCTCCCCAAAAAGGGAAAGAACAGTCTGGGAAGGCAAATCACACAAGGAGGGAGAAGTGTCGCGAGACTCAACTCGACGCTCTATTGGCTGGCCTGATAGTCTGGCGCGAGGAGAAGCGGGCCGGAGGTAAAGGGGCGGGCCGTCAGTGAAGGATCTTGAAGCGCACTGGTCGCTCGCCTCGGCGGCAGAAAGCGCCGCTTGAAGCTCATTGGTCCTTGTAAGAAGGGGCGGGAAAAGTGGCGCGAGCGAGGCCATTCCTCACCCCACTGCCCCACCACCTTCTTTCGCCTCATCCTGAGTCTGACTTCGCTCGAGGCTGTGGTAACCGCGGCTGACGACGCGAACGCGACCCCGCCCCTCCCGTCTCTTCCCCTCCCTGTCTTGCGCTGGACTCCCTGCCCCAGACAACGGTCGCCTCCCCACTAACGGTCCTCGCGGCCCCTTCGCCCATCCCCCACCGAGGCCCCAGGGCGCGCTCCCCGAGCCCCGAGCCCTCCCTGGGACCCTGGAGCAGGGCGAGGCCGCGGGGACAGCTGCAGAAGGGGGTGCACGCGAGGAACAGATGCATGGGGAGGTGTGGCGGGCGCGGTTCGAGGCTGCTTGTTGGGAATGGGCGAAGGCGCGTAAAGGCCGGGCGCAGCGACGGCGCGGGATTGCCTTAGTTTGGAAGGCGTGTGGGTGTAAGAGAGGAATTTGGGCCGTGGGGAGGGGGCTTTGGGCCTCGATCAGGGCCTGGCACATGGAAGGGGCTCAGTAAACCTTTGCTGAAGGAATGAAAATAATTCTTGAAAGTAAGGCAAGGGATCCATGAGAAAGATGTAGTTACTGAGGTGCAAGGGAGCGGTCTGATTAAAAGGGCTGCGGGGGAGAAATTGAATTGCAGGGCATACGTGAGGCTAAGAATTGAAAGGGGAGCATAAACGTTATGTGTGGGAATTGGATAAATGCAGGAGGGAGGAATGATAATTGTTGAAGAGAATGCCGGGGAAACTGTGGGAATGGGGTGTTGGTGGAAGGCGGGTGTAAGAACTGCTGCAGAGGGCGTGAGACTGCGCGAGTATGCCCCAAACTGGGATTTCTGCCTGGAAAGGAACATGTGAGCGGAGAATAATGTTTGGATCGAAAGATACACAAGAAAGGAAAGAGAGAGGTTCTTGGGAAAGATGATGCCTGAGGAAAGTGAAGAAGGAGAAAGCCAGGGGAGACTCAAGGGTGACAGCTGAGTCCAGGAGTGGGCGAAATGGAAAAATGCTTCAGGCGTGGCCTCCCAGAGGCAAGAGGGCTGGTCAGGAGAGGGCCCACGTGTCCACCCTGACCCCCCACTCCTGCCCCTAGATACATGGAACCCAATGAAATGCCTGCTGTCCACCACTGCCCCTCAGACTCTGCCACAGGGGGTGAGACTAGAGCCCCCCAGGGCGGGGAGCTCGTCCCCAGGAGAGTTGTCAGTCGCTCTCCAACGTGCGCCCGCTGCCGCAGTCACGGTGTCACTGCCCACCTCAAGGGCCACAAGCGCCTCTGCCTCTTTCAGGCTTGCAAGTGTCACAAATGTGTCCTCGTCTTGTGAGTATGAGATCCAGGGAAGGGAGAGGATGGGCCTCATCCGAAAGGCGGCTGACCTGCCTTTTGACTCGCCACCCCCGCTTTAGGGAGCGCCGAAGAGTCATGGCTGCCCAGGTGGCCCAGCGTAGGCAGGAGGAGGCGCAGCTGAAGCGGCACCTGGCTCGGGGGCAGATGAGGAAAGGGGCGGCTCCTCCCAAAGCTCCCGGCAGTGTCAAGAAGGGAGTCACTCAACCAAGGCTCCACCGTGAGTGTCTCTGGCCAGGGCCAGGGCAGGAATGTGGGCAGGGAAAGCCTAAGTAGGAAAAAGAGTCCCAGTCCTGCCACTGAATTGGTGCGCGACCTGGGGCAAGGTGTTTCTATTCTCTGGACCTCACCTTCCCCAACTATAAAATGTGATTAAGTGTTGGGAGGATGCGGTGAGGTCTGTGGGTAGAAATGGGACCGAGAGAGATAATTCAGTTTGGGGTTGGAGTGGGATGGCCCTCAGGAGAAAGAGCTCACCAAAGCTCTCCCTGGTCTCTCACAGCTGCAAAGGAGAACATAGCACCCCAGCCTCAGACTCCCCATAGGGCAGTCCCACTGGCACTGACACCCCCAGAGAAGGTAAGGAAAAACTGGGCCCTGAGGGGACCCCTGTCTTAGCCCCTGCCCAGATCCCTTCCTGTATGCCTTCAGCACCTGGGTTCTAGGTCCAGCCCTGAATTGCTGTGTCATCTTGGGCAAATCACTTCTATTCCATGGACAAAATGAAGCGGTGGGATTTTATGGCCCTTCAAGCTCTAAAGTTTTGGGGTCCTACCTACATCCTGGAACATACCCATTCCTTCTCCAGCCTTGTACCTGACTCCAACCTATGCCCCCTGCAGGAGAACTCCCAGGGGCCTCTGCTGCTCAGCTGTCCCCCAGAAGCCTTGCCTTTGCCCCGGACTCCAGTGCCTCCAGGCCCTTTGGCCACTGGACACTGGCTGCCTCCAGGCCTTTCCGTACCAACCCCAGTGGTGTGCCGCTTGCTATGCCAAGAACCTGCTGTCCCTCTGCATCCTTTCCCTGGTAAGATGAATTCAACGTTAATTCAAGAGATATGTGAATGACTAGGTACCACTGTATCAGAAAGACAAGAGGAAAAAGATACAGGGTAGGAAGAGGGAAGACAAGCCATGACCTCTGCATACGCTCTGCATTCTCTTACCCTCGTTAGGCTTTGACCGTGGCACTGCCCTCTGGCTGCCCACTCATGGGCCCCTCCCAGCCTGCTCAGGATCTCGCCCAATACTGATGGCTCCTCTTTCTGGAGAATCCCAAGGGCCCTCTACCCTGCCCCACACGTGAGTAGGGAGAAAAAGATGTGTGTTTATGATGTGCCTAACCCTGTGCTGGATACCATAGTAGATAAAGAAGAAGAAAAGGTCACAGACTAATGGGTGAGGCAGAGCTCTCCTAGGTCTGCCATTGCCTAGCTGTGAACCTTTGTACAAGTATCTTTACCTCTCTAAGCCTTTTTTTCTGTCAGTAAATCAGAGACACTACTACTTCTTGGTAATAATGAGAATTAGCAATAATATATGGAATACACCTAGCACAAGCCCTGGCCTTAAACAAGTAGTGGCTATTAAATCCACTTAAACAGATAAGATAGGGTTGAACTGCCTGCTGAAGTGGGGGTGGGGTGGGGGGGCGGGGGGCGGGACGACATGCTGCTAAGAGCCTCAGAGGCCTAGAAGAGAGGCCAAAGGCCATTAGAGAAAGCTTCCTAAAGGTGAGCCAAGCTGCTCCTCAAGTTCCATAGCGATTGGGGAACTAGGAGGGAAGGAAACCAGACTCTGGTAGGGCAGGAACAGTCACCTCAATCCCTCTAGATGTTTTGTCAGGTTTTTTTTTTTAGCGGACACCAATTATTTCCCATAATCCTCACAGTAGCCCTGGTAGGAAGAAGCTGACAGATATTTTCATTTTACAGAAAACAAAGCAGGCCATAACAGAGGAAGGGACTTGCCCAAGGCCACAAAGCCTAATGACCCACCAGGCACTCAGATTCCCAGATCAGAACATAGCAAAATCCTGCCCCTGTTTCCATGTGTACCTGTCTTTCCATGTTTAATCCCCCTGGCATCTTTTCTCCTTATTTCCAGATGCTCGACTCTGAAACTTCAGCCCTGTGGCACCCCAGACCCACTTCTGCTGCAGCCACAGGTCCTGGGGAAGAACTGGGACCCAGGACCCTGGGAGGAAGTTGAGCTTGGGGAAGGGAAGAGTAGGGGATAATGAAGTAACCAGGGGCAGAGGGAGCACCTGGAGGGTGGGCAGAAGTGGGGATTCCCAGTCTGCTTCTCTCTCTTTCCTTTGCAGGCCCCCAGAGCCTCTCGCCTGGACTGGACCTCTGACCCCTCAGAGTGGCAGCTGCAGTGGGAGGCAGCCGAGGCTCTTATGGGACTGAAAGATTCGTTTCAGGCTCCCCGCCTGACCCCTTCTGGTCCTTCCAACCATGCCTGGATTTCCCTGCGCCACCCCTGTGGCCCACCAGGTAACCTGTTCCTTAAAAGGAGGGGATGGGATAGGCATGACTGAGAAATGGAGGTACTGGAGTAAGCAGGGACTAACCAAATAGATCAGGAAGTTCAAGATCCCAGGCCCAGGCCCCAAGCTTTTCAACCTAGCCCCTGGGATTACAGTTGAGAGTTATTCAGTGAATCTGTTTTATCCTTTTTGTACTCAAAAGCAAATGTCCAGTGCCCTGATGTCAAGGAAAGTGAGGCCCTGAGAGAGGCAGGGACTTGCCTGAGTGCATATAGCAAGACAGTGGCAAAGCCTGTTCTCCTGACTCCAGCCAAGGTTTTTTCTCTGGACCCAAACTGCCTGCTGAAGTCTAGAGAGGGACTGAAGAGGTAATAAGGGTCTGGCCTGGAAGGAGATTTGATAACTGCCTTCAAGGAGCTTCCATTCTATTTGGGAAACCTGGATGCCTTCAGAAAGCTCAGTGACAAACCTGGAGAGAACTAGAGGACTCTTGAGGCATGAGAAACACCTATGGGGACAGAGAGGGAAGGCTGAGATTTCTCTTGTCCAAAATGGTGGATTGGACGTGCTGTGTGGGACTGGAGGGACTGCTGGAACAGAAGCAGATGAGTATGGAGGGGCTTCTGATCATGGAGGTCTGGCATGCCAGGCTTGGGCATCTAGACAAGCACCTGTACATGAAGGGGAGCAAGGGAATGTTTCTGAGTAAGGGACATATTCTGAATCCCTGAGCTTTAGAAAGACACGTATGGTGGCTGTGATGGAGGGATTGGATGAGGCAAGACTAGAAGTGGGAAAATCAGTGAGGAGGAAGTGTTTGCTATAATCCAGGTGAAGAAAGATGGGCCTGGATTAGATGGGGTAAAACGAGAGGGTTTGCTGGGAGGGGAAATAGATGTGACCTGGTCCTGCCCCCTTCCTTCCTGTCTGTAGCTCCTGCTGAAGAAGGAGGATTCCAGCCTGTTGTCCCCTCTCTCTGACCCAGTCCAGCCCCCTCCGTGGCTCTACATATTGGGCATCTGGGATCCATCTCCCTCCTGAGCTAGAAGCCCAGAGGTGGAGGCCTCACTGGGGTAGGGGGGCAACAGCCTGCAGGCATTGCATATTTGGTATTTTACTTACAGATTTATGCATGGAATTTAATGTAGCACAAGCTTCAGGCTTGTTTTAAAGCTTTCAGGTGCTTTGTTAGCTTTTGGCTCCTTTTGTAGCATGGCCATTTCCTTGGCTGAAGGGGGATATTCTTTTACCTTCCTCGGATCCTGGGACCTTTTAAAATCCCCAACAAAGAGAAAGTTGTGCAGTTTAAGTTAACCAGTATCTAAATAGATTTTTGCATGAGTTCATGTTCCAGGGTATTTATTTGACGTGTGATTCTGTATATACCTGTGCACTCATGTCTGTCTCCATGCATGTGAAAACAGGAGAGAATTTTCATTTTGTGTCTAGGTTTGTGTGAGTAAGCAAAAAATAAACCTGTATTGTTTTAAGCCACTGAGATGTGGGGATTGTTTGCTACCGCAGCCTAACCTAGTTTATTCTGACTGACAGAAAGGACTTGTTCAATTCACTTCCCAAAGTGAAAATCAGATATTCAGTAACTACCACAAATAACTACAAACTTGGATTTCTTTTTATGGCCAGATAAGAAAGAGTGGTAGGCAGACACGGTAGGTGATTCGCTGACTCAATAATTAAGTGACTGCTCTGTGCCAAGCATGGACAGTTTCCAGCTGCCCAGAGGGGCACAAGTGGAAATACCTACAGGGCCAAGCAGATCATATGAATGAGTAAAGAAGGCCAGAGGAGCCCTAGAAAACTGAGAATGCATGCCCTACCTAAGAAGGTAGCTTCCTTTTGGCCCTAGTGGATTGTTGCCAGGCAGGAACGTGGGCTCCGGATTGCCATATCTTCTGATTTTTCAAGAGAAGCTGGAAAACTAGATTTCTTTTTAAAACATCTTAATTTTCAAATGTTGGCTCAGTTTTCTTCTTTAAATCCTATGTAGGTCAAACAAGACATATCTTTAGGCCAGCTTTAGTCAATGGAATGTCAACTTAATGCTAATCTAACGTAACATTTTTCAAACGGGGAGACTGAGACCAATCAGTACAGGAAGAATCAAGTTAAGTCTTTATCAAGGGTTTTTCCTGAACTAGAGAGATTCATGTATCTAAGTTCTGAAGGACCTATAAAACGTTAGTGACAGTTATTATCATTTATTGAGTACACACTCTATGCAATTCACATATATCCTCACAGCAACTCTGTAAGCTATGCACGATTACTCCAATTTTACAAACAAAGGAACACCTTAGAGAGATAAAGTGACTTGCCCAAGTATTTTAGTGAAAATTTGTAGGCAAATATTGGAGAAAGGTTCCTTCCTTGCCAGGCCCCAAATCAATAGGTAATTTTTATAATACATAGAGTGAAAAATTCAGGACTCCAGGAGACAGACACAAGTCCCGAGGGTTTTTCAAAAAGTCTTTATTTTTCTACTCAAGATAGCAGTAAGTAATAATGTCTTACTCACGTTTGTTTCTTAGTCCTCTGCTGTCAAGTCCTTCTCCTTGAACTGTTCCAAGCACGTGAAGACCTGGTGAGCTATTCCAAAGATATGAAGACTCGGAGACCCCCATCCCCATTTCTACTCTTAGAAGGGCCAAACAGAAAGTTCAAGGGACGTGCCTGATCACTGATTCTTTTTCCTAATGTTACCTACACCTCTTTTTATTCAAGATAATTGATGGTGATGGCATCCAATTACAACTTGCTCTTTTCTAGTTTGGGGCCTTGAGAAGGTGAGCTGCTTCTAATTCTAACATTACAGAGCAACAAATCTCCAACACTTCCCAGGACTCAGTGCAAGATAACCAAAGCCCAAAGTCTGCTTCACACCTTCCTTCCCTGACCTTGTTTTAACTTAGATGTGTGATTGACCCTTAATAGACCTGCCTAAACCTTGCTGTGCCATGCTCTCCCAGTGACAGAAAACCAAGCCCACATAGTCAAGGGGGGAGGGAAGCGTTGCAACATGCAGCGTGGCTAAGACCCTGCTACTCAGGGCTGACCAAAGGTCCCCAGTACACCAAGCTCACACAGCTGGGAAGAGTAAAAGAGAAAGTATAACTTGAGGTTAAAGGATGACATGAGAAAAGGGAGGGGAAAAAAAGTGATGGAGACTGGAGGAAGGAGCTGGGGCAGGCCACTCTTCACAGACCATTTCTCTGCAGCCCATCTCCCCTTCTTGTCAGATCTGGCAGGGCTTTTTACACTACTGGCTAGGCCTACTTTGTCTATCAGATTGTCAGGGCTTCCCCATTGGTGCCTGAGGGAGAAGGGTGGAGGCTTGCAGAGGTCAGCTGTGGGGAAAAGGGCACATTTACAAATTGCTCATGCTCCTCTGGCTGCAGCATCCTTCACCTGTGGTTGTGGGGAGCCAGCGGGCCCTTGGCCTCTGACCAGCCTTTGGAGATTAAAGCCAATAGACTGTGAGCACTGTTTCATGTGTCACTTCCTTTCCCATTACCCACTGCCAGGTGAGGAAAGGTGTTGCCCAGGTCCAATAGGGTACTGAGTAAATCATCCCTCTTCTAAGCTTCCTTCATGTACCATCCTGATGTTCTGCAGAAATAACCAGTGAGGTTCCAAATGTGAAGCACCATCCTGCTCCTCTCTCCAAACAAGTCTCCCCCACAGACACCCATGTTTCACATCAGGAGCTCATTTTACATTCTGCCCTTTGGGAATCCATGCTTCCTTTCATGTCAGCCCTATGTGAACCTGTTCCACTCCAGACCACACTCCTTGAGCAATGTAGAATCAACATCATACCACCCATGCCCATCCAGTTTCTCTACTCAGACCCTCATTGCCTGGGCCATGTAGACCTCATTCTGTATCCCCGTCCCATTGTGTAGCTGGCTCTGCAGCCGCCAATATAGACACATGGACAGTCCTATAACCCATGCCCTGCATAGACCCCCATCGTTTTCATCTGACAATGTCTCTGATAAGCCCCTTAGGTAGACTTCCTTACATTCCTTAGGGGCCCTTGGCCCGCAGTTTGCAGGCCTGATCACCCTGAGCTGTGCCCACCTCTGTCCAACTATGTCTTCCCTTCCAAGAATAAGTACTCTCAGAGGGCAGGGGCTGCGTGCAACTCCTCTGTGGGTTCTCAGAATAGATGACTAAGTGAACCACGCTGTCTTGATTCCTTAGGAATTTATTTTTCCTACAGAGTTAATGTACTCTAACGTGGCCTCTCCCCTCATCACAACATAAACAACTTCCTACCCTCGAACCACTTTTTAAGAGGTGGGTTTTTTTTCTTTTGAGTAGTTTTTAAGTTCACAGCAAAATTAAGCAGAAAGTAAGAGTTCTCATAGTCCCCCGGCCCTCCCACAGCCTCCCCCACTACCAGCATCCTACACCAGAGTGGTTCATTTGTTACACCGGCTGAATCTACACTGACACAGTATGGTTTACATTAGGATTCACATTAAATGCTTGCTCCTTGGGCTTCCCTGGTGGCGCAGTGGTTGAGAGTCCGCCTGCCGATGCAGGGGATACGGGTTCTGTGCCCCAGTCCGGGAAGATCCCACATGCCGCGGAGCGGCTGGGCCCGTGAGCCATGGCCGCTGAGCTTGTGCGTCCGGAGCCTGTGCTCCACAACGGGAGAGGCCACAACAGTGAGAGGCCCGCGCACAGCAAAAAAAAAAAAAAAAAAAGTTTTCTCCTTGCAGCAAGTTAGCAACTTTATCAAACCACAGGTGTGTTCTTTGTGTTCTTGGGTGTTGGACCTTAGAAGGATTAAACTAGATAATGCACGTAATACTACATAATGTTTACCTGTGCCTTGCACAGAGTAGGCACACAAAAAGTATTTGTTGATAGAATTAATATGTGTGCACTAACTGCGAAGAGACTCAGGCGCTAGGAGGCAGAGCTGAGCTTCTCGGAAGGTCCCGCCTCTGTCCCTTTGCCCCTGACCTTATCTGCTCCCCGCCTCCACTGCCTCATTCCCACTCCGCTCTCCTGGGCTGTGGTGAAGCAATTTCCGCCCTAAGAAGGGTGCGGCTTCCGTCCCCTTCCGCTCTCGCGAGTACTGCTGGTTGAGGAAGGGTAGGTGGTGGCCACATTTCTTCGCTGCCCTTCCCCTGCTCTCCCGGTCACAGTTCCGCCCTTACTAGCCCCACTTCCGGCCAGAAAAGCCACTTCCACCCGGAAAAGTGGTCGTCCCGCTGGTGGCGCCAGGAGTAGCCAGGTCTCTTTATTTCCTGCCCACCCATAACTTCCGCCAGGAGATACAGTCTCCGCCGCTGTTTGTTCCATGCATGATCAACGCAAACGAAGCTAGATTCCCTCCAACTCAAGACGAGAGCTCCTCAAGCTGCAGGAGAAGGAAGGGCGGGGAGGAAACAAGCCTCCGCCCTCACGCCACACCCTCCCACGTTCACGGAGGGGAAGCCACATTTGCCCTGAGAGAGGCGCGGCCGCTTTTTTCCTAACCCCGTTCTCGCGAGTTCTCGGAACTCTCGCGATAACCAACGCCCGACTTGTGCGCCCGGGAAACCCCGTTGCTCCCTTTTCCCTGGCTGGCAGCTTGGAGGCCGCACGGTAAGCTTGAGTGCTCCGGTCCGAACCGGGTGCGGGGTGTCGGGGCCCGATTCGCGATCCCGGAGCGTGTGCCTGGGAGCTCCGGGGTACCCGCGCGGGGCCGCCCCGCCCCCTGGAGTTGAGGCCACGTGCGAGCTGCAGGCCCGGGCATGTCTGGTTCGCGCTCTCCGGGAACCGAGGCTGGGCTTGGTGGGCAGCGGGGAGTGCGGGGGACCCCAGAATCAGGGGTTGGGGTCATACAGCGTCTTCACAAACGGGGGCAGGTAGTGTTCGTGCGACCCGGAGAGACCATGGGCGTCAGTGAGTTCTGTAGGACCCACAGGCGCAGGGGTCTTTAAAGCGGGGAATTGAAGTAGGGCCTTCGGAAGTAAGGAGAGTGCGACGGTTTAGATCGCCTTGGGGCTGGCCCCCGACCCTTGTCAGTCGTCTCCATCAATCCTGTGTTCACATGCTCGACTTTTCCCGCAGATGCCTGGAGTTACTGTAAAGGACGTGAACCAGCAGGAGTTCGTCAGAGCTCTGGCAGCGTTCCTCAAAAAGTGAGTGTGGGGATTGCGGTCCGAGTGGGTGGAGGCTGTCGCCTTTGCCTGATCCCTCAGCGCCCGCAGGCTTTCAGTCTGGGGAGGCTTGTTGGAGGTTTCTGTGGGATCCATCCTTTCTACATGAGCCCTGAGTTGTGTTTGAGTTTCAGTCTCTTTGTATTTTGGGATACATTGGGCTCTTCTTGATCTACAGTTGTGTTGAGGGGAGCGAATTGGGATGGAGTTTGTGGAGACTCCTGAATTGTGCCTTTCTCGCTGTCTTGGTCCCAGGTCCGGGAAGCTGAAAGTCCCTGAATGGGTGGACACTGTCAAGCTGGCCAAGCATAAAGAGCTCGCTCCCTATGATGAGAATTGGTTCTACACACGAGCTGGTGAGGAACTGGGGCCTTTGGCTGGGGCGTGGGGGGCTGGGTGTCCCCTTTGTGAGCTCTTACTTGCCCCCAGAAATAACAAGAGAGAAATCTTTGACTTTATCACTGCATGTTTTTTGTGACATTCAATTATTTTGTACTCTGAATCTGTTTCTTCATTTGTAAGAGATTCACGTGAGGACCTGTGCTTTCCTCTGAGTCTTGTGGGGGACCCAGGGACAAATGAGTAGGGTGTTCGTATTTTGCCTGGAGGTGGTTCATTTTAGAGAGAGGCATTGTCCTTTTAATGCCTATGGGTCTGTTTTATTGTTCAGGTCGTCACACTAGACTGTCTTGTTAAATGAGTTGTTCGTAACTAAGGGGCTGGAGATCTGATCAGGTCACTCGTTGCTCTAGATCTTGGCAAGCCTCAAGTGTCCTGAAGAAAACCTTATGGTCACCCTGTACTGGTCCCTTTTTTTATCTTCTTATTAATCCTTTAGTAATGACTTTGAAGGACTGATTTTTTTTTTTGCGGTACGGGGGCCTCTCACTGCCGTGGCCTCTCGTGTTGCGGAGCACGGGCTCCGGACGCGCAGGCTCAGCGGCCATGGCTCACGGGCCTAGCTGCTCCGCGGCATGTGGGATCTTTCCAGACCGGGGCACGAACCCATGTCCCCTGCATCGGCAGGCGAACTCCCAACCACTGCGCCACCAGGGAAGCCCCTGAAGGGCTGATTTTAAGTGTAGCCCCTGATTGCATAGTGCTAGTGCTAGTGTTGCCTCATCTGTCTTTAATGTTTCAAGTTTCTCCAGTCACCCCCATGGAGGCTTACCTTGGGAGTAGGGGATGGGGTTCAAGGCTGGATTGTGCCAAGGTGGCAGCCTCTGCACAGGGCTTTCACTAAAGGCTCTCGGCCTCTCTTGTCTTCAGCCATCCTGTGTGAAGTGGGGGCTCTGTCCTGACCAGAGCTTGTCTGTAGGTGGGAAGCAGAGTTTGGACAAAACTCCAGAATGACCTTGAGAAGAGTTGGCCTTGGTATAAGGTGCCCAGCACCTCGGAGCATGAAGTATTTTGTAGATGGTGGGCCAATCTTTCAGGCCCTAGACTGGGCATAGGGGCCAGCATGCTCAGCTACAGTCTCTGACCCCTGAGGACTAAAAGGTCAAGTCTGTGAGATGAGTGGGATGGGTAGCATATCTGGGCAGAAAAATGGGTCTGGTGAAGGGGAGCTGACTTGACCTCCCGGGCACACAATCAGTGGTGGTGGGGCCTGGACGAGACCACCACTACCTCTGTCATCCACCCATCTTGGGAAGCAAGGCGTGCCCGGTCCTGACTGCTCTTTGGTGATGCCTCAAGAGCCGATAGGTCAAGCGAGGCAACTGTGGATCTAAGATGAGGAGAAAGAATCTCATAGCTGTTCCCATTTGATGAGGTGAATACGCATATTTTGTATAACCTGTACCTAACAAAAACTTCCCAAGTAGGTCTGGTGGTTGCCGATTTGCAGTTGATGTCAGGGAGGTTAACATGCTTGTGGTCTGCCAGCTGCTGATGCCACAGTCTACCCGACTCTTGTCGTGATTGGAGGTGGGGGCAGCTCTGTCCCCTTGGCAGCGTTTTGTACTTTATTTTTCTAGGTGGGGAGAGATTAAGGGGAAATGGGGAAAGGACCCTGGGTAACACACACCGAGTTGAGCCTGCTGGCCATCTCTACAGTTGCTGTGGCCCCTTTCTGCCCACTGCGCGCCTTCCCCAGCACATCACGCTGGGTGTGCGTCCTCTGCCTGCCCTGCTGCTCTCCCTTGGCATTTCCAACGCTCGCTTTTGACTTCAGTTCCCCGGCTGCCCTAGTGGCACAGTGTAAGGGTTCTAGACCAGGGTGTGTTGTGTGCGTGTTGTTGGGGCACAGCCATGCCTGTTTGTATAAAATCATGACAGGCAAGGGTTGTAGATGCCACAGGCTACATGGTCTACTCTCTGACCCTTTACAGGGAAAGTCTGCCGACCTCTGTTGGAGTCTAGAGTGCTCCCACTTAGTTTGGTCAGTGCGTACTCTGGACAAGTGGAGTCATAGGAGATAGTCACTTACCCAGGAGGAAAGTGAGATAGAGACCGGTGACGGCCGTGGGAGGGTGTGGCAGGCTGACTCCAAAACCACAGTCTGCCGTATTTGCTTTTCCTCCTCTGGATCGTGGGCCCCCTCAGGGGTTTGGAGCTGAAGCACAGTGGGATAGCGACCTGTCCTGGGAGGCTGAGCTGGCAGTGAGGGCAACAGGGCAGTGGGGGTCAAATGCTGGAGACATATGAGAGCCAGCACAGTGTGGGCAGCTATTGACCTCAGGTATGGGGGATACAGAGGGCAGAGGTAGATGGCAGGGCCTTCTTGAGGGTGGTCCGCAAGAGCTGCAGAGCTGTAGGGGAGAGCACTCACCAGGCAGTGGTGTAGGGGGCAGTGTGTGTGAGGGGTGAGGTGTAGAGATAGAGCGAGCCTGTTTCAGGGGAGTGGGGAGAGTGCTCTAAGGGGAGGAGCAGTGTCAAGGGGGGACCACTGCAGGGCTTTGAAAGGGAGTGGTGCAGTGTGGCCCTAGACAGGCTTCTTGATCTCAGTTCTCAGAAGGGTCTGCTTGGGGGGGGAGGTAAGAATAAGAACACTGTGTGTTTCGGTAGGTGTCCAGCAGTGAGTGAGCAGCTGTTGGACTGGGGCGCCTGAGTGGTGTGTGTGTGTGTGTGTGTGTGTGTGTGTGTGTGTGTGTG